AATGTCCGAAAGAAAGTCCGTACTGAAATGCGGCCTTCCGTGAGCAAAACCACCGTGTGGTGAGTAAGCCAAGCAGAACAATAGCATCTTCAACGGATTGACGAAAAGCGTTCCAAGATTATTTGAGCGCTAACAGATCGCACCTCTCCTTTCTCCGTGGAAAAGAGCTCAACTTAATGAAGGAATGTGTGGTTGTCGACCCTTCGCGATCTTGAACTCTTCCTCCTTGTTTCGTGTTGCAGGTGGTCTGAGATCGACGTGGAAAAGTTTATCCTAGGTGGATATGGCAGAAAAAGAGGGTACGGGATGATCGCGTGAAAATCGCAGATAGTTTTCAATGTAACGTAATTTCGGCGGTGAATCCCTTATGGTTTGAGGCACCTTTGAACGACTGAGTAGCTAGAGCCCGCTTTTGTTTTCCGTTCACAAAGATTCCGCATGGTATCGTGAAGTTCTTTCGAAGCGAGTCTTACCATTTTTCAACAAGGATCCCTCTATCCTTGATTTTTACGCACGATAATGTGGCTGTCCATGCCGGTCCCCCGCGCCAAAGGAAGTTGCAGGAAAAATGTGGCAGTTATCTGGTGGCCACATGTTATGTGAATTAGATTCCAATATGAGAATCATTGGGGCCTTAATTGTTACAAGTTTCCACAGCAAGTAATGCAAAATAGAACAGCCGAAAAGCTAAAAAGGTCGATCATCGGCGCCCAGACAAATTTCGATCCTACTGTAATAGCTAATTTGGCTTCCAGCATTTCAAAACGTATTATTGTGTTCCTTATGATTATTGGGGGGTCATCCACTTATTGAAAATTCGTGACGTTTTTTCGTTATAGTAAAATCTCTCGACAAGTGATGTGTAGTCATATTTGCGAAACGATGAAAATACGTTCTAAGGAAGAAATTTTAATAATTCTGAATCGAGATTTCTCCAGAAATCAAGTATCAAGGTTTTTCGTTATGGGGAAACTAATTGTAATAGCGGCACTTTCCAAAAATGCACAGCAAACTTTGGAATAGCAAAAGATAAGGTGGACCTATATTTATGAACGCAGTGTATTTATATATGTATATTATACATATACGTACATATATATATATATATAACATATACGTATAACATATATATGTATATATTATGTATATATATATATCACGAGGTGGCTAAAAAGAGACATTTAACTCCACATTTCACGCAGCATTAATCACACTTTACTACATAGAATCAGATCCACTGCCCCCAACTCAGTATTGAAAAGCACCTTCTAATCTACACTGCGTTCAATAACGATAGCCACCTAAAATTTGTCCGAAAACATAAAGCTCATAGTTTCTGAAAAACTGCTAAGATGGAAAATGTGACAAATTTCATGGCGAGTTCAGACAACAAACTAAAATCCATTTTGAAACCACTAAAAAAATTTGTGCTCATTTTTTCAAAAGAGGTCGACTTTCCTATGTTCAAAAATGATACAGCCACCCCATGATTCTACATTGAAACTCATTTTTGCTTTATAAAACTGATTCGCAGCTATTAGGCTTTTACAGTTGGATGAAAAAAGGTAAACTGTAGCAAAAAAGGACCAGGAATCGTCAAGTAGTCAAATTGCGCAAAAATTGAGTCAAGGCTCAAATACGGTTAACAGTCTTTTCTGGAATCCTGTAGGTTATGAAGAGCTCTGAATGTTCATAATTGCTTTTTGGTCAATTTGAACTTTCATTTTGGGGAAACATTTCATATTCATCGAACAGTGCCCGGAATTCCACTCTTCCTTCAGAATTAAACTTTCAATGGATATTGTTTGGGATGTGATGAAGACTTTCCGAGATCATTCTTCGATGGAGGATTAAAGAAACCTTGGTCGTGGAAAGAAATTCTCTCGAAAACTGAGACATTTTTTGATCGAAAGCGTGGCCACGTCCACTGGAACAGGATCAGTTCTTTTGTCTGTTGTGTCTTACTTTCTGTTCACTTTCTTTTGAGTTTTTCCTACTTCATTAAAGGTTTTCCCTTTCATTAGACTCCTATGAAGCGAAAAATATTTAAAGAAACGCAGACAGAAAGTAATACACAACAGACAAAAGAACTGATCTTGCTGCAGTGGACGTGGTTACACTTTCCAGCAGAAAATGTCTGTTTTCGTGAGAACTTCTTCTCACAAACAAGGTTTCTTTAATCCTGCATCGAAGAATGACCTCGGAAAGTCTTCGACACATCCTAAACAACATCCATGGAAAGTTTAACTCTGAAAGAAGGGTGGAATTCCGGGCACTGTTCGATGAAATTGAAATGTTTCCCCAAAATGGAAGTACAAATTGGCCAAAAAGCAAATATGAAAATTCAGTTACTTGGGCAAACGCTACTAGAGCACACTAATTACAAAGTGGTTCGGCCTTTTGCTTTGTGATACAACACCAAACTCCAACAGAAGGCGGTACAAACGCGTTTTCGTCGAGTTCGCAAATTTTCGAACACTGTTTGAAGAGCAAACAAACTCAACTTTGAAAACATGAGCGTGCCGTCACTTCCGAGAGGGTTACGAATGTACTCAGCAAAGGCTTCGCATAGGACTGACCGAGAGGTCGAAAAGTGGTCCATTTCCACGCGTGAGACCGAATGATTAGATTGAGCAAAAACTATCCATCGTTTTTTTTTCAGACTCATGGCTCTGTGATTTTTTGCAGATTGTTTTCGAAGATTGAGATGTAGTCTGATAACGCGCAAGCTCTCGCACATTTTGATGCACAACACTTGTGAATTTGCTTTACTCTGGAGTTTACACACGAGCAAAAAAGTGCTCATACTACATGAGTGTAAGTTGATCTTGAAACGAACGCTGCTCCATCTGCTCGTAAAATTGAGCCCGAAATGAAGGCACGGTTGCAGAGAAGACTGTTCGAAAGCATTCTGACTTCTCTATTTTTGCAACCTCGGCATTTAGTTGTAGGACGGTCAAATTTCTTGAGCCTTCAGCCCAAACATTGGGCCTTTCAAGTGAATGTTCCACCAAAAAACCTCGTAAGGCACAAGAAATTCAACAGACTGTTTGAGAACATTTGTTGGTTACTAATTATTGCTGTTTTTGTTTGGTTTTGTCAATAAACTTATGAGTGAAATGAAAACGGCGGGTACTTTTTTGCTCAACCTGATAATTTCAAGTACTAGCCGTCTCGGACAGAGAACTTTGTTCTACCATGAACCCAAAATTGAACCCTCTCGCAACAGCGCTTCTGTAATCCTGAGACGAAATTCACGGAAAACACTTGCGCGCCGCATGCGATGTGCTTGCCACTGAACTGTATGAAGGCTAGGGGTGATGGGTGTAAAACAGGAAGTGACTTTTTCGCATTTCGCAGCGCGAAACATTTATCGCTCAAATGCACCGCTGATCTTGATTGTACCTGAAGCTACCCAGCAAAAATGTTTCGTAACGAAAAGGAAAAAAGTCGCGTTCTGTCTCAGCGAACTACACCCAGAGGCGATTACCTTGGAAACGTTTGGAATGTCATCTTTTCTACGAATGATACTCATGGTTGAAACTGATGAATTTTGTTCCGAGCTGCGAAAAAATATTTGTGAACCATAAATTTTACCTAGTAACCGCGGAAAAGTGATCCCTAAATGCATTTTAGAGCTGCGTGGGACTTTTGCGACCAGAACAGAGTGTTTGTGATTGATGGTCATGTAAAAACTATCAATCAGGTACCGCTGCACAATGACCTTAACACCAGGGTCAAGCGTGCGATGAGGAATCCTCGACAATTCACAGGGGGCGGGGTCGTGTTGGCCCGCTGGGTCGGGCCGGATTGATGCAGTATGACCATCACTGTCGGAGGACAAACATCAAGGATTGAATCGATGCCATGAAAAGCCAAAGACTCCCAATAACATTCCTCAAATCTGAAGGGATGTGAAGCACATGACGCATCCCAGAGTGGATCCAGTCGTTGTGCGCGCTTCAACAACGACTCTTTGGAGATAGAATCTCAATACTGGAAAAATTGAGGGGATTCTGAAAGGGACCATGTGAAATTATGGAGAGGAGTAAACTATTCAACAAGAAACGCAGTCTTCAGCGTCAAATTCATGATCATATAAGTATTCGTGTTGAGACAGATGCCCCAAACAATGTACATTGTTGGGAAGAAAAAAAAAGCTTGCAGATTCCGAGTCTGCTCCAATTTTTGCACAAAATCGCCCCTGGGATAGCAATGTTCGTTGAAATAGTGCCAATGCAGCGAAAAAGCACCTTTCAGCGGTACTCGGGCGAAATCCTTGACGTAAAAAATGTTTATGCAGCGGACGTGTTCAGCACTTCTAGCAACCGTTTAATAGAGCAAATCTTCTAGTTTATGATGACATATTAACTTTTCAGATTGGATGAGTTTGAAAGTAGTTATGGCTTTGGAAAGCGTAAAAACTCGCACTCATCATGGATCTCCCTCGTTAATTGATCTAAATTCGTTATTTCTTACTTTTTTTTCGTAATTTCAATACTGAATGAAACGACCTCTTCACAAAACCAAAGATGTGTTTTCAGATTGAAAATTCGTCATATTTGAAGAAAGTTATAATCATTTGAATATGTGTTCAAATTTCAATAGTAGATAAGTTGCTCTAAGGCCAACGCAAATAAATCTTTCGAAGGAAAACAAAAAACAAAGAAGAGATATTGTCATAACCACTTTCAGTGGCTAGTTTGCCGTTTTTTGCTCCGTTTCCCATTTGCTCGTTTGGTAGCACTCATTAAAAATCATTCTTTGACTTTTCTACTTTAATACTTCTTGAACGACTTTTTTGGTATGGGGTAGCAAGGCTTGTTTTATGAACAGTTTTGGTGGAAAATTAAACAACCTTTTCATATTTTGGCGGCCTGTGAGGAGGGTCGTTTCAATGGACTTCGGTCTCTGGGGGAGGGAGGGGGGGGTGGTATTTCCAAATTTTATTCGACGGTTCGCTTGACCCCGCTTATGACCTCCTGTGAAGACCCAGCACACTAGTCAGCATATATTGTTCTTTTTTCCATACCTTTCGCATCAGAAAGCTGCTTTCTTTCTGCCTCGCGCTGCTCTTTCGACACTGATGAGCGCATTCCCAATGTACTTTCAACCATTCTGCGAGCAACACCGGCATTAGTTTTTGGACGAGCCCTTGAATAAATGAATGATTACTGAAGCAACATGAGAAAACATGGGGAAATAGTACCTGGTGGGCTTCAACTGAGCCTGGATTTCTCGCGCTTTCTCTTGGACACGCGCAGGAGATTTCGCAAGTGGCCGCAATCGCAACCACTGATGCTTGTGTAACACCAAAGCATCGCGAGCTATAAGAAAGTTTTTGTACTGAATACACGAAAAAAGAAATAGAGTACGTTATACCTTGACGTTCACTAGCGAACACCACAAAGACAATCTTGCGCTCCAACCATTTCACCGTGGCATTACCCCAGTCGGTAGCTGCCAATGCGTTTACCACGTCTTCAGCAAGCTTGTACTCCGGTACGTCATAAGCTTCGAGGACGTGAGGCAACACTGTAGAAAAGTGCATTCTATTTGACAAAACACTTATGAACTAGGCAAAGATCAGGATACAACTTCTGACGAGTTGTAGGAAACAAATATTTTCGAAACAGCGCTATACCTATATCGACATCACTTTAAACAACAAAAAAATGAAAGCGAGTGCAACCTACGGAAAGGATCCCAAGGAGTTGCAGCTTCAACAGGCGGAGCGAAATAGCTAATAGGGCGTCTCGGTGTTTTCGAAGCAACCTCAAGCTTCAACGCACTCATCTTAACAAATAAATTCACCAAATAAATAAGCAGAAACTGAGTCACTGTAGAGTTTAACCAACCTGCTCCTCGAGTTTCGAATCATCAAGGTTCTCCCATGAGTCACCATCGTCATCTCCCGTCACGACAGGCTCTTCTGGGATGGAAGAAGCAACATCCACAGACTTGGCTTGCGAACTGGACTGTCCAGATACATCCGACAAGCCAACAATAGACTCAAGTTTCTCTGCATCAGCTGATGACTCATTCAAGTCTATGACCGGGAATAAGTCCTTCGCTGGCTTTTCCGACGAATCGCACTCCGCCAAGTTGTCCATGTATAACTTGCGTACAGCTTTACTCTGCTTAGACGTAGTAGACGCTTTACGCAGCTCTTCCTAAAAAATTATTTTTGAATAAATCTCCTGCAGTCTCCGGAACAGACTTGAAAGGTTCTTCGCATTCTATATTTAGACACTACCTCCTAATTCCAAAATTCTAAAATTCATAAGTCTCAAACAAAGCACTAGAGGAGACCTATGAGTACGGATTCAGAGTCGCAGTTTCAAATGATGTTCCAATGAAAAGGGGAGCTTAATCTGCCCCCATGGTAGCATAATGCGAAATTGTAAGCTACTGGCGTCAATCGATAGATATGTATCGTATGACCAGTACAGATTATATGAATTTGTCGCCATCATGCTGAAATCATTGCCATACTACGCCGAAATATGACGCAAAACTCTTCTATGTATAATCTAAGTATTATATGAATGTTAATTCTGAATTACCTTGGAATCCTGCGCAGGAGTTAGAGGAGTTAGCGCAACACCAGAGAACAGGCTCTCGATGACACCCTTTGCTAAGGCTTCTGTTTCGTCTTCACACCGAACTGAATCCGGTGTGGCGCAATCACTTATCGGTGTCGAACCTAAATATAAAATGACGGATGGATATTTAGTAAAATCCACAAATGCTGAGAAAATTCTTGAAAACTATACCACGGAAGTAGTTGTCAAAACTGATGTGTCGTTTCTTCTCCTCAATGAAGCTTCTAGTCGAGTCGATTGAATCAAAGAGTTCTCCACTTCCAAAACCAGCACCTTCGATTCTAAGACCTGCAAACATGCCAAATTATACTCATTAACATGTCGCAAAAAAAACACTATTGATACAGTTGGGGTAAAATGAGTTGATATGACAAAACAATAACTGAGAACACTTTGATGTCAGCTGAAAACGGCAGATTTCATGAATGAGAAACTCCAGCAATCAACGAAAGAGCTTGATGTCGAAGAGGCTGCTATCTTTGGTTTTAATCTTCAAGTACCATTCCACTGGAATCCAGAAAGAGTGAAAGAATTTGAGGAAGGGTCAACGTATCCGGCCATTGACAAGATACTTCAAGCAGTACGTTACGGCTGCCAAACTGGCGTGTCAAATGAAATTCATGCTTGTCGTGCACATACACTGGACACATTACGACGCCCAACACTTTCGCAAAGACATTCGTTTCGTTGCGCGCTCTCAATTCGCCAAAAAGCCGCTCATGTGGAGTCATTCGCAATACGCTTGGCTCTGCACACGATTCCAGCTTGCCTTGTTTGGCACTGTTCAAGAAAGAAACGATTTCTCAATATTTCCTAGGTTCCACCGCAAGCACGTTCGCGGTGGGGCGCGCAGTGCCACATGTTATAGATATGTTTTCGTCGTTTTCTCTGCGCATTCCTCAACGAGAGCCACGACGAGAATGTAGTCGTCAACTGTATGGAGCGATATTGCAGTAGAAAGTGGCAAGGCCACGGTTTTACCGCAGGGAAGTGCGGCTTCAGGTGAATACCTGCTCCCTGCAAGACCAGATTTGCGTAAAGTCTACGTGTCGTCGCGCAAGCGGTGAGGAGGATCTTTGCGCGGCGAGGCGAGCGTGCGCCAGTCCGATTGCGCGCTCCAATTCAGCAGCGCGCGGGTGTATCCCAAAGGGCGGTCACATTGCCATTGGGCGCATGCGCTGTAGTTGCCACCCAAGCGCCCCCATCGATCTCGACAAATAACTCGTTCCGGACACCGAACGATAGCATTATCGTGGTCGCATTATCTACAATGGAGCCGCATTCCATCAGTGTAGAGTAGACTGCAATAGCCTCCCCAGTTCACCATTCCCTCCTCTCGTCTCTGCGGCTTCGTTCTTGCACTGAGTTTGCTCCTTCACCTTCAACTATGGAAATGACATGTAGAGCTTACTTAGAGTGGGTTAGTCACGATCATTTCGGAGCTGTGAACATTGTCACTTCAGCAACTTGCATGCAGGGTCACCAATTCCATATACGGGTAAGTACTCTTTTTTTGTTCAGTTGACTTGTATGGAAGTGGTGTCATCCAACTAGGCGGTTCTAAGGAACTCATCTTGTAATCCATCAGATGGCCTATTGCTGCGTCAATTCATATACTAAACAGTATCCCGGTGCAGCTCACTTGAATTTTGCGCTGCAGCTCCCACTTCTCATCCTTTTTTGTTAATTTGCGCACCTGTGGTGTTTTGTTTTACGAATTCCCTTCCTAACTTATCCGGTGTTATATTCAACTTCATCCCTCTTTGAGTATTTGGTTAGTTTCTATGTCCTGCGTCAGCACTTTTGACAGAATTCACTACGCAGTAATTTATACTTGAGCAACTATCAAACAGTGCGATTGTTGCATATTAAATGCCTAAGGATCAAAGACACCGAGGTTGGGACGAGACATGCCTTCGGCAAAGCAACAGTTGAATCAAGAGAGCAAAATACAATACCCATTTACCGCCCATCGGGAGCGCTCAGTGGAAACTCATATATAGGAGAGTCCCAAAGAGTTCAAGAAAACTAACTGTTGTATCTGCGAATCGCTTTGGGTTCTATCCAATAGGGAACATGTGTGTGGCCTTTTTGCAACTGCTTTACAGTAAGGCCGCATTTTTCAGGGAAGAGCCTCTCAAGATGCGTGATAACTTCGCTCCACTTTTACATCCACGCTTGGAGCTGCCCTATCCTTCCATTACTTGTGTGGATCAGGAATCGCAGCGAGCCAAGAGACCATTTTCACTTCCTTCGCGAGCATAAACATACAATGCTGGCTAATTATTTCAAAATTCAACACGGTGATGGTTCTCACCGCATTCATCTAACCAGCAGCCAATCAAGACTTCAATGCCTCATTCAAAGCTTGGAAGAGCAACCCCAAAAAAAACCAAGTGATGAAGCCAAATGAAACTTGAACACACGCGTTTTTCTGCCAAAAAAGTAAACTGAACAATACTTACCACGTATAGTAATTGTTGTCATCCACTGTAAGTTGCTGGAAAGTGCAATGTATCACAGTTCCAAAATGATCGTGATACAATCACTTCGAAGTAACTCTACAGTCATTCTAATAGTTGAAGTGTGCAGTGCGAATTCAGCGCAAGAATGAATCCGGAAGAAGAGTCAAGAATGGTGAGCTTGGGAGGCTCTGCAATCCAGTCTACTCTGGCGCGCTCTATTGCAGACCGATCAACCACGATAATCTATCGTTCGGTGATCCGGACGAGTTATTTGGCCGAGATATGGGCGGCGCCTAGGTGGCAACTACAGCCCATGGGCCCCAATGGCAATGTGACCGCGCCATTTGGGATACACCCTTCTTGTCTGCTCAAGAGGAAGAAACGAAGTTTAGACAAGCACACTGATTAGCTTGTGGTCAAGTAAAGTCACACTATCTAGTTCCTATGTCACTTTTACATACATGTGCATAAGCGGCAGCCAATCTAAAGCAGTCAATGTACCTCTAAAGTTTCATCTTTAGAATGCCTAATGAATACCATATAGTAGAAGATCTTGATTTGATCTGGCTACTTGTTTGTATAGGTGTTTTACAGAGGCGGTTCCGATTCTAAGTTGCGATGGACGGCGTTCTCTAGAAGCCGAAATGTTCATGCTTTTGGGGGGTGTCCTATGATTTTGCAACGCACTGCAGTCCCACTCTATTAACGCCGTTGATTAGTCCTCATCGCTCATCATGTTACCCACTATCAAAACCTTGAAACCATAGCTGTTCACTGTGAGCGACGACTGAGAATGGCACGTACCGAAAGGAAACTGATCGACTCCACATTCTAACGCCACCTATAAGGCTTTATCAGTGTTATCAGTGCTCATCTATGTTCCCGTCCGACCCAGCATAATCCTCGTGAAAGGCAACATTCCACAATGAAATTGATGTTACTCACATTCTGACCCTCCTTATCAGCTTCTGCCGGGTGCTATGGCCTTTGATCACCCACTATCTGGGTTCCCGTGAAATTTTATATACTATTACAGCCAACGTTACAGTGCCAGAAAGACGTAGCGGGATTTGTGTCACTCACATTTAGACTCTCCCTACAAGCTCTTACCAGTTGCTATCACTTTCTATCACTCACCGCCTGTGCTAAAGTCTCAGCGCCTACATACCGCGAAGTGGCAACGAAATTAATGATACCCACATTCTGGCCCTGTTGTTAGCTATCATAATTCATCACCCGCCACCTGTGTCCCCATCCGGCCGAATATATAACATCTAGAACCAAAGTCGCATCATTGCTGCGACGGGTTTTGTGAAAATGACGACAGCCCCATGTGCGTCTACCTCGGCACGTTTTTGTTGTTTTTTTTTCACAATCGTCATAACTTCAATAATTCCACTACTGTAATCGATGCACAGTTTTCTGGATAAGATCACGCATGCGCACAGTTTTGAAACATGAAATTTGCCAAATAAATCGAAAAAAAGCTGACCAGAATTGTCTTTAACACGTTGACGACAGAGACGCGCATGGGCGCCATGCTGTCGTCAACGTGTTAATGACATGCATGAACACAAACACACACGGAAACATACAGGGTGGCGAAAAATTAAGTGCGCCACGAAAAATATCCTGATATTATTTTTTGTCCATAGACAAAGGAAGACAACACTGTTGTGACTCTGCTTCCAGAGCACTAAAGCTTTCTTGGAAACCTCTTCATGATATATCTCCGCATTAATTTCTACGATTTTATCGACAAAAATCTATGGAGAGCTGTCCAAAGCACTGATGCTGCTCCAAATCATTGATCGTTCACCGAACTGAATTCTTGCAAGTATTTCCCAACTACAAATGCTCCCAAGAGCAAAAAAGTTGGTGGTGATTGAGGAGTTTTTAGCTGCTTAAATGGGTGAATTTTCCGACAATCTAGACGACTCTCCAGCTCCGCCACACCATCGACTCGATGTCGAAAGTAATTCAGATCTATCTCAGAACTGACAGCGGCGATTCTATACTTCTTTATAATTACTGAATGTTAAAGTTTGCTGTTTTATAAAATGAATTTCCTTCAAGTTTTTATGAACCAACAATGAAGTTAGGACGTTTTTTATGCCGCACGTAATTTTTCGCCACCCTGTACATAGCGCTCTAACAAGGGGGTTTTTTCAGGGCTAGCCGCGCTTTCTGGAAGTGGTTCCTCGCATATTGTAGGGACGCATGTATGGACCACAAAACCATGTTTCGTTTTCGCTGAACGGTTTTAGTAATATCAAAAGATACCCTTGATGGTTCGATGCCCCGCGGCGACTAAATTTTGCAACCAAGGTTGACGGCCACTTGTTGGCACCAAAACGGTCCTGACGATGAACGTGACATCTAATTTTGACATTTAGCGCGGTTTGGCAACAATCGGTAGTCATCAAAAAAAAATGCAATATGCGAAGAACCATTTCCAGAAAGCGCGGGTTGCCCTGAAAGTCTTCCCTAGTAAGGGATTTCAATGATAAAACGGTTTGAAGATGGTAATTTGGAAGGATGTGTCATGGCAACACGTACCAAATGATCCACCCTGGAGGAGCAGAGTTGAGTTGGTAGAAGCACGTTGGTGTGTCACAGGAAAACCAGGACCTTGTATAAGACCCACTGGCGATATTTAGGCTCGACGCAGGGACGCACCTTCTGCCACGTAGGACAATGCGGCTCAATGTGAGAATGCACCATGGAATAACTCTTGTGCAAGAATTTGAAAATTATTACTAGGGCATGTAGGAACCAGCGAGCAAAATGCAAAACGACCAGCACACCCGGTAACACCAATAAAAAGGAGCAATATAAGCATTACAACGGCAATCACGAGTGCGAAAACATCTGTCCACCACAAAAAAAAATCCAAAGTAGTGGAAGTTTGAGTATTCCCTAGCACGAGTTCTGACGGAGTGAATCCTAACCAGTTTAATCACAAATAAGCACTGCCATACGAGGAACACTGATTACCTGAGCCCCAGAACAGCAAAGGTTTTTGTGCCAGCGGTTCCGACACTCTTCGGCGACTCGGAGAAGCCTTTTGGTCCCTCCAAACACGCTTCTGAATCAAGGCCTCTGACTTTGGGGTAAGCACTGAAACAAGTCTTCAGTAAGCTAAATAATATTGCACATATGAAATATTTTACGAACTTACATGGTTCAAAGTTGTCACTGAGGTTCAAAAACGTGGGCGACGTGATAGGATGACTGTCGTAGTGGGTGAGGCTGCTCAACGGATCGTGGGAACTCAGCTTTTTCGCGTACGGCAAGCGTTCAGGACGTTCCAGTGATGACTGGCCGCTTTTATCAGTACCTGATCGATTTGTTACCTATAAGAAGAAGAATGAAACTAAATCGCATGCTAAAGATACAATACTACTACGTCTCACTATAATGATGGAAATAGTTCCAAAACACGAAAAAGCCTGTTTTTATCAGCCTGTTTTTATTAAAGTGAACAGAAATTATTTAGCGCTTTTGTGAGGATAGTGGTTTTATGATTTTTTGCGGTGGTTTTGGAGATTTTGCAGTCGGCATGAAGCCCACAATTTGCCGCAAATTTTTATCTATAGCACTTCTACATTTGCTTAAGTATAGAGCAGAGAGTTACTGATGCTGCTTTAGTGCACTGCAAGTTGTACACACCAGTGATTTTTTGGTTGCGTTCAAGCTAAAAACACAAGCGTTATGTATCAAAATGTGCAGCAAACTGCGGGATATTTAATGATCCAAAATCGTTGAAAATGATTGAAGAGGAATGAAACGACGGAATTCCGCCCATCCTCGTATTACCAGTACCAAATTTTCAAATTGAGAACCCACGACGCGGGAGACAGAGGGTATTCAGAGCGTATGTTCGGAGCTAACAAACGCTAAACGCCAGGACAGAAGAAGGCGATCCACGTTTCCACGCAAGATGCTTATCTGTTCTCTTATTTTAGCTTGCAAAAAATGAATGTGTGACCGAAATGAGACTGCAAAGACGTGACAAAGCCAGATATGGCTTGTACGTCCGCTCTATTACAGCGATCCGTCGCGGTGGTTGCTGGACGCTGCCCAGACGCGACAACCCATTTTGACTAGGGCTTCCCTTAACACTCAGAATTCACTGCGTTAGGACGGATTACTGAGGTAGTTGATCGAAATTTGACATCGATGGAACACCGAATAGACGTATACGCAGACTCTCAATTTGTTTATGCTAGTTGTGACCTTGGATGAATCGAGCTCTGAGCTTCCATGATAAAAGAGAGTTTTCAAGTCGCCGCTCTGGTACATCTGTGACTGTCGTTGCTGTTCTTCAAAGCACTCGTTGATGAATTGAACCTAAAAAGCATGACCTGTAGTTTCACAACGGTTTAAACAGCCAGACGTAAATCACTTGAACTGACCAGAAAAGAATTACGAAAAAAAATAACTAATATACGTCAAAAGTCGCAACTGCAGCTAAGTTTCTAGGTCCCACTTTGGTGATATGAAAAAAATCTTGCAGGAAGTGTACGGAAATTACCTCCAAATCTTCTGGTTCAGCAGGATCAGTGGGCGGTTCAGCCGAAGGGCAATTGCTTGACAGACGGCTTGACAACGCTGGCGAACTGTGTCCTCCAATCAACGGACTCGAGTGATTTCGCTCCAGACGAATATGCAACTCCTGAAATGACTCGGAAGCGTTCATCATCACTTAAGAGTTTAAACGAGAAAGAAAAGCCAGCAAAATTAGGTGTCAAAAACCCAAACGATGAGGAGAACATTGAAAGAAAGAGAGAACAACATTTTTTACTTCAATTCGTGATAATAGGAGGGGGGAAGAAGCCGTCCTGAGAAGTTTGAGATATAGAAATCCTCAAGCAATAAAAGAAACATGTTATAAATATGAGATCTAATGTGAAGTTTACATTTTTGAACATTTGCAAGACTTCAAGCAAAGGTCGCGTAAACTTGTATTCAAATCCAGAGATATCAAGCTTTCAGCGCCCTCCAGCTAATGAATCTGACGCAGTGTTGGCATCATTCCATCTATTCAAGCGTACATTGGGACTATGGCTTTCGCCAATACGGGGCATGTGGTGGCTGTGCATTTAAAACCACTTAACATCTCCTTTTTGTTAGAAACGGATTGATATGAAGGCAGAAATGGAGAGACTCCAGGATGCGTGCAACCTGTATTATCCAGTTCCCAGGAAAGTGTTTCAGTACGTGGAGCGCTTCTCAAAACGGTTGATAGGATGTCATAGGGACTGTCGCAGGAAGCATAATTTTGCAGATCACGTTTTCTGAGAAGCTCTCGGAATGCCTAAAAACATGAGGAAGAAATGGCCTGTGGTTTGATCCCTAATGAGAACATGTTTTTTTTTCTGTATTTCTCTGATTTCATCATCTTAGGTATATGTCTAAACTCATTCACTGGACAAACCTCCAACATGCCAGATTCAACGCTGCAAATGCTAGAATATAATGGAAAAAATGATAAAGGTTCTACTTCCTAAGAGAGGTTGTTCCCTCATTTTCTGGCAACTAAAGGACCGCTCTAGAGAAATTATCATCAGTTCTCCACCGCGTGCCCCCATAACACGTAGCAAAATGACTTGAAAAAACTTTTTTTTCTGAACGACTTTCCTGTTGAAGCATACCCCGCATCTTCAAGTGCATCCACGATCATACATAACAGCAATGACCCATTAAAAGCGAGCTTTGTCAAGAAACAAACAAACCTTGAGTTCAAAGTCATGACACGAGTTCGGCAAGTTGCTGAGAATACTGCTGTCTTCATCGTCGTCCAATGAACAACCTTCATCAATTTGAGATGAAATAGTTGTGTCTGAAGCTGAATTAGAGTAATGACTTATTTTCCACAGATTCTTGACAGTAAATTTCCCAGGAGCTCTACTCTATGGATTACCTTGGATTTTTGATTATATTTGTTAATCAGCTGAATATCGTTATCATGAAGGGGAAGAAGTGGCTCCAGTGTGGGTCAAACAATATTCGATCCAATTGGGACTAAGCCTGGAGCAGAACGGAACAAGGGGGAAATGAAAGAGCTTATGCATCAGCATTCACACATACAACGTGATGAACCGGTCAGCCGATATTGGCAGTGAACCGCAAGGATGCGGCAAAACGCTCATGCATCCCGCATACGTATCCCCCATCCCCCTCCGCCACCCCACACCACTAAAACTGCCCTGAACGTTATTGTGAACGAAAAAAACCCTTGAGGGGTTTCAAAAGCGTTGGGGGCTCCCCATCGCGGGTCCCACCTTATTTAAACAGACTCTGTACATGCATCTTCATAGCTGCGCTGATAATTCCAAAACACCAAATTGGCGAATCAATTCAATCACTGGCACCTATCAACGCCCCATCTCGAGAACTCCCTAATTTGCATTTTTCAAGCAAACAATAAAAATCCTTCCTCGAAGAGCGTGACACTGTAGACCAAGACTGGGAAATGGACAGGCAGTACAAAGCAGGATGAATACCGATCGAGGAACTCCTCAAAAGGGGGTCATATTTGTCAGGGTGAGCCATGGGAGTCGCACTTGTGGGGATCAGTAAGAGCACATCAGTGGCATCACAGTGCGGATGGGAGGGAAAGGGTATAGCGCAGTAGAAAACGAGGATATTCAAGAAAACACGATATAAAATATTAAGTGCAGGTTTATCTCTCCATTCCTCTATCTTTATGAGAAGGACGTATTCGAAAGCAGTACAAAAATGAAAATGCATCTCCGCAAGGAACGGCACATGTGCACACGTGCTCCCAAGGCACCTCCTACATCTTCCGCCCGCTCCCTCTCCCTTAATAACTCGTTGAGAATCACACTGTTGTTATAAACGCTGTCGACAGTTTCTGTCAACAGGTTACCGTATAACAACTTTCGATCGCTTCTGCAGCTTTGAGTGGAGGACGTAGGCATGGCCTATGCTAGAACGAAATCGGATGATGACGATTGCCCCTTTCTAACCGTTGATGTCGAAACAATGCATTTTAGAGTAACATTCCGAGATTCTTTCCTTTTCGAACTTCCCATAAAATTAGAGAGATATTGCCTTTAAGTGGTTCAGCGTCCTCGACGCTGACTCGAAGGAGTTCGATAAACCGTATCTCTGCGAGTGGGAAACTTGTAGAAATTTCAACAGGTGCATAACTAGGAACCTAGCCGTAAATCCTACCATATACTGTTCAGACGGTTATAAAATGGGGAAATAGTATCTTTTCAACGAGGGTGTAGACCTTCATGCTTTAATGCAGGGTTTCAGCAAATCTGACCCAAGGATGAAGCCGCCGCAACTGCCGGTGAATCGGCAGTCGTACTTTAGGCTTCACTTTCACAGCTCGGAGGGGGGTCGTGTCACGTCATCGACCCGATTCTCATCCTGGTACAAATTTATAAATACCTCGCGTCCAACACACGAAAGCCTTCACGTACTTAAGATAACTCTGCGTTTACGCCGCTATATTTGAGCAATATGGACAGTTACAAAAAGAAACATTACTAGCCCATGAAGCAGTTCGGCAATGAGTGGAAGAAGGAAGTAGGAGCTAGGAGTTTCGAATTCACCCACAATACCCTCAGTTGCAAATTTATTTTCTTAGTTCTATCCGTAGGAGCACCGCTTTCTTGGCTTCCAACGAAAACTTGAAATAAATAGCTAGTATTTGTTTCTAGAAGAATTGTTCGAATGTTAAAAATTTCATTTCCTTCTCGCAAACAGTAGAAATCAACTAAAAATGATTGAAGGTCTGTATCTTCGAGCCGAGCATTCATTCAATCATTAACAGGTGCTGCGACTGTAGTCCCATATGTTGGTTTGTTTTTGCATAGCTAGCGATCCATCACAAACTAATTTTCAAACCTCTTTTCAGTTCAAGTTAAAGCTCGACCAAGCTCGGTGAGATCACGAATTAAGTGAAGGTTCGGCAAGGTTCTTATAGTATGAGAGCACTCTGAAATGAGCTCTTGCAGAGGAGGACTCATGAAGGGTGTGCCAGGTTATCGTGCACCATTGTACTTGTTCCGGCAGCCTTCAAGCATATCTTAAAGGCGCACGACAAACAGTGGTTGGTTCACTGCCAGCGATCCTAGTCGCGGTATTTCTGAGGCACCAATTCAAGTTTGCGTCACAAGCTTACACGCGACGGTGAGTTACAGTTTGATTACCTCCCAAAATTCTAGACAGAGAGCATTGGAGTATTCTTGCAGCAAAAACATTCGTGGACAAATAGATAAGTTAAATATTGGGTTACCCCATAATTCCTGCCCGAATTTCGACACTTTCTTCTCATTGAGTTATATCTTTACCAAAAACCAAATGATCAAAAACATAACTATTATCATAATCATCAGTACGCATCCATTTACCAGGGAACCTTTGGATGCTTTCCTCCTAGAATGGGTCAAGCTATAAGCTTAAGGATTCAGCAAGGTCGTTTTTGGAGTGGTTGTATTTAGTGACTTTTTTCTCTCGCCGCTGCTGGCTAAAGGCTCTGTAAAAAGGATGGTCCGATGGAGTGTTGCCCAGGGCTATACGATAGGCATGGTCTCATGAGCCAGCCCATTTTCCCAGAAGGTAGCGAGTTACCTCTGCAATGTGGGGTCGGGCGTCTAATCAGAGAAAGGGGATTTTGGGACGTTTGAGACAGTGCTCACCCACTACTGCGGCCAACCTCGGGAGCTGTTCCACGATGGCATTCGCAACACTTGTACGCATAGAGCAAAACGACTTTCAAAACAGATGGCCCACTTAATCCAACAATTCAGAAGTAATAAATATTCTCTGACCACGGAGTGCGGGCTTTTGTAGAGCTGGTGGGCCCTGGCTGCGAGGTAGCCATCAGGCGTGCTGCGTGTTATTATCGTAGTGAACTCATGACTCATCCCCACTAGCGATCAATGAGGGAAGGTCTGCTATTGAGGTCGCAGAATGAAATTACCCCAGAAGATCAGACGAGCTTCTTGGTCATGACTGGTCGATGCATATGGTTTCTATCAAGTATTCATTCTGCTGCTGCCGACTCCATCCTGATGGCGCATCGGCTGCGCTCAGGTGTCTGCTACAATACCCTGGTAGTAGCGTCCATGTGCACTTCCATGCAGTGGAGCAAGTGGTCCTCATCGAAAGCGAGTAGAGGCCCAGGATGAGGCTGCTTTCACAGCTCATACTGCCTTGCCATTACGACCGAACCTCCAGCTCAGTGACCGTTTAGTAACTGAGAGTGAGCCAAACACAGCGCTGATCTTCTGTAGTGTCTTCCTTGCAAAAGCATCTATTTAAGGATCGTGAAGCATAGTTCGTTATTGTCAATGATCTATTTCGACTTCCACTCAGTTACTCCGAAGCGGGTTGACCTTCCGAAACGTCCTGGCTATCGGTCTAGATGCACTCTTTGACATACCCACATATTTCGCAATGACACTATCTCGACTCCAAGAAATTTAAATTTGATCAAGAAGACAGGAATTGTGGGACATTATGTGGACATGGAGCGCCAGTGGGAAGAAGAAAATTAAAAAATGTTAATATTAAAATAATTGGCTTAGAAGTGAAACATCAACAACTGAACTGTAGTGTTCGATGTCCTGTCTTGTCAATTACTGCTTTTCTGAAAGGTTCAGCGAATTCTACAAATGTGATATGCATTGTTTCGTTAGCTGCATGGAAGGTTGCAGACATCACCATTTTTGACGCGCTTTCTTTTGTTAACAGCAAATGCCCCCCGTTAGAAAACAGACCCGCAATCTTTTTTGAGACTCCGTCACAACATCCATACGCGATGCTTTAGGAGGAACGACCATATGGAGCTTCGCGATTCGAATCCCTCAACATTAGGATGTACTTATGCTCGCAACTCAACAGTGATTTGGAAATACTCGCCCACATGAAAAGATCGTGCAGCTCTAATCGAGTTTCGCGCGATTGTGGCGCGTATGTTTTGGCTGCAGGGATTGGATCCATGTCAGCCTGTCCAGAAAGCGCGAGAACTTCAACTGAATTGGGCAGCGTCGGGCTTCAATTTGTGCCACATTCCCCTTCACTTCAAATGCGAAAAGGCCACAACGCTTCAATGTAAATTTTCTTTCAAAATTTTCAATACAAAATGATAGAGTGAGTGAAAGTCGTACCATTAGTTGTCCTCATATTGTTGTTGCCACTTGGTGAAGGACTATATCATTGGGGGCGCACAGTTCGAATGAACGGCGCTTGTGAAAGCAGCGCAGCTAGGTAGCAGCAGTAGTTGCAGCAGAAGCATATTGTACGGCCTGCTCGAAAAGAGCAGCAGCTTCAAACTGGCCCGACCCGTACATTGATGGTGCACAGGGTAGACTCGGATTTCCCGCAAACAGTCTCGATCCATCCATGACCATGCACTGCTTGGGTACGCTCGTCAACCTGGAAAACAAACTGTAAAAAAAACATGTGTCCTACTATTCATCTATTCCGAAGAAAGAAAGCTTTCGTAGTACGTAACTTTTGGTGGGAAAGGGAGACGCATTGTTGGACGAGGGCGTCTACCGCTTCATAAAAGCACTTCGCGATCATGCACTACAGACGGCAAGTCTGAGTGACAGGGAGAGTGTGACAAAGTCAGGGGGTGGGAGGGAGAGGTGGGGTAAGCCATCCATCATATGACAAAAGTTGGAGTGTTCAAAGTCGTAGTGATACGCCCCTTTCCTACCAATAGCCTGTCCACGTTTTAGTTAGTGGTTAATGTCTCGGGTGACGAATGCTCCAGATGTGAACATTCTTTGTTTTACTATCTAAGTTGCCACCTCAGTTACAGTGATCATCATGATTTTATTCGCTTGGAGGCATTGTTTACAATTAGGTAGCCCATTTGAATTAGAACAGAAGGTGGTCAGTGGTGCCGGGATGAAGAAAAACTGCGAGAAAGGGCTCAGAAAATGAAACCTCTTCCTTGCCTGTTAATTCCCACACTGATGCGACTCTCATCGATGTTGCTCTCTTCAACGCTAACGCTCTCCCGCTAGACGGTCATGGACCTGTGACGAGTCACTCGGTGGGCGTATCGCGCCGATACCGCCGCGGAGAGGGCATGCTAGATCGCCGGAGATATATCCTTCGCGACTAATTTCGTGTTGGTCCGCACCCCTAAGGGACTGCCTGTCTACCAGATAAGTTTCGCCTCTTCAACTTCATCTTATCGCGGAATCCTTAAAAGAGGAATTCACGATTAGAATGAAGGTAGAAGAAAGGGAAACTGAGCTAGTTGAAGGACCCACGGACCTCCTGAGGGTGCGAACTGACGCGCAATTGACATGGGAAAATTTAACCTCGGCAACCTATCATGCCTCAAAGCTGGCGGGTCCGGCGATCTCCGCCCACCGATCATCTGATCACTCGCCGTAGTTCAATACGTAGCGAGTGATTAGATAGCTGAGAGAGCGTAGTGTTGAAGAGGGCACAGCGATGAGAGTCGCATTAAAGCTCGAGTCAACGGGCAGAAAGGGGTCATTTCTCGAGTTCTGGGTCGTTTCTCATGGTCCTTCCTTCTTTCGTGTAGCACTCGCGATCCCAAGGTTAATTTGAAATGGGTTGCTTTTTCTCGTGAATTCGTCCTTTAAATAATACTTTGTTACCGTGTCAAATGTACCTGTTCGTTACTAGTTATTATGTGCCATAAAGTTGTACCAACTGAAGTTTTACAATCGCAGTTCTCAGTTATGTACAATTTTCTCACCATGCAATGATCACATCATAAACAAATAATAACAGCAACAGCACCAGAAATGAACCTAACTGCGTCGGAGTACTCCTTCCCAAAAAGTCATTGTTGCTTTTGGAATGCAAACTTTCTGGTAATCTTCCCCATGTCACAACCATCTTTCATGGAGTTCTGACTAAGCTACACGCTCCATTGTCCGCTTTATATTAGCCATCGTCTTTCGACCTATGGTGAGATCTCGGAGGCTTAAACGCTGTCGCGCCGCATGCTGTACTCCGACATAGATTCAAAGGAACAGGGAGAGGAAGTATACAAACTCTAACACACACGGGGAACTACCTAATATTTCGAATTCATGGAAAACTACTCCCTCTAATGACAAAAAATAATTAAACAAGAACCTGACAAAGCATGCATTGCACTCCATTTGGGATGGTATACGCGCACATAGGTCCCACAAACGGTCGCCGAAATACGAACGATTTTAGAGTTTCGCTTCCACTTCTATTTAATTTCACTTTGGCTGGTGGAGTTATTGTTAAATTTGTAACATAGATTGAACACTCTGGTCACGACAAACCCACCACGATGACCTTACGATATAGACGGCTCCTCGGAAAAGGTTCACTGAATTTACAATGGACAGCTGCGGCTTTCAGTGCAGCTACTAATTTGGTTGTTTTCAAAAGAGACCAAAGAAGCGTGGGAATTTGTGATAAAAACCAATTTTCCCTTTCGCGCTTAATTTCACCTACACCTTAATTCCACTCTACACGAGATGCGATGTTGCGCTACTGAACGATCGGATACCAATTTATTGCTGACAGCGAAAAGTAAGGGTTATTACTGCTCACGCACTGTTTTTTTTTGATTTTCATACTTCTTATTGTCATGTGGAAGTGACAACTGGAGCAAGGAAAAATAGCAATCTTAAAAAAAAGCCTGCGCATGGGCCATGCACAAAATAAACAATGACATACCCAGCAATGACGTTCTGGTTAGTGATGGTGTCGAAATCAGTCAAGGTGGACATTGTCTGCTCTGAAATTCAAACGTGCAACAACATAAGGAAATTCCCGCTATATCACCAATCTCAAACTGACGATTATTGACATTGACATTACATAAGCAATGTTCGTTACTATTAGTACCCACCGTCTGGTTGCTGAACGCTGGAATGAATTGCACATTCTGTTCGTTTCAGTTACCACAAGCAGGAACGCTCCTACTGAGCCTTAAACACATTCGTAACACCTTCTTGATCAATAATAGACAGTTTGAGATTTCCTTGACAAGAGTGAGGGTAATGAAAACAAAAAGGAATGAACGAAACGAGAAGAAAATAACTTACGGAAGTCCGAGTCTGACCCTGTTCGAAGCAAACAGAGCGGTAATCCGCGTCTGAAACAAGTTTGTAACAGAATGATTACAACTCCTTTCAAAAGTAAACTATCATACAAGGTGATATTTCGAAATTCAGATGGTCATTCGATCTGGTTGTATAGACATGAAACACACGAGCGAAAAAGCTATACACACAACGGAACTTGTTCAAAAGTCAAACGCGAAGGGCCACATGATGAAACGTGAACAGCAGCTCCATTAGCTGAATGAGGGAAATCGTGCATGCCGTTGCGTCACTGCGATGATGACCTGGGACCGGGTGACCGTGACGCGACCGCGACGCGCAGGGTATCGCGTGCGACGCGGTGGCGGCACCCCAACCGCGGCGTTGAGGTTCGGCACCGCGGCTGGCGGAAGCGCAGCCGGGGCGCTCACTTGGGTGCATCTGTCCTAAGTGGACAGCGGAGGCTTGCCATTCCAGTGTGCGACAATTTTGGTCATCCACGAAAACATCAAATCACTGCAGAATAGGTAACGATGATGTCATTGCTTGACACATGAATTCACGACGGTGACTTCACTACGGCGCCACCGGGGTAAGCCGTCTGTCAGCAACGGAGCAATGAGATTGGTTCATGTATCAGTGGTCCACTCATGAACAAATACTGGTTGAACACTTGTGACCCAGGATGCTCTCGGAGAGTGGAAGGAGCTAATTTTACCCCGCAACATTTCCGAAAAACACCAATCAATTTGTGGGGTGTTTTTGTTGCTTGTTTTTTGGATTGCTGCCAACATGCGTTCCAAGCGAATTTGATTCTGGGAAACGTCATATGTTCCCTACCAAAAAGATCTGAAAGCTGAAAATTTGTTGTTTGCGTTGGCGATCAAGGATCATGTGCTGAGTTGGACCACCCAGCACGTCGAGCGTCGTCACCTAGACGGGATTCAATCAATATCGCCACATTAGCACAGATCCCAATAATTTCCTGCACCAACGAGAAAGGAATAACGATAGGGTGGCTGACGAAAATGATGACCGGTTCATCGTAACTTTACAAGTATAGATGTTATTTACTTCCAATCAGTTCTCTACTGATATTAGGCTGGAAAGAAAGTTCTGCGACACTTTCTAAAATTTTCTTTTTTTTCTGAAAAATTTAGGTAACATTCATGACTTACACACGAGCATTCTCGAGGCTTCAGTCCACGAGGTGGATATAGGTGCTGCAGTCAGTAGTTATCCAAGAAAATTCAAAATACACCAACCACTGGTAAACCCATACTCCGAGTCAGTGTCTAGTACAAATGTCTCCAGAACTATGGACTCGTGTCAACGAGCGACACTATCCGCAATGGCTTCAATAGGCATGTGGTTCACCGCTACAGCGTGTTGCACCTTTACCAGCGCTTTCGATCTCTGATATTTTTATAAGTAGCCAGCAGCGTCCTCCACACTCCATCACAGATAGGACTCTTACGGAGGCTCCACTAAAAATTCTTCGTTATGGGCACCATTATGTAGGTAGAGATCCAACCAGGGTCTGTCCTATCGTTGTTACTTTTTGAAACGACCCCCCTCCCCCAAGGTGGATTTGATACGACCCCCTTTTCCCTACACACATCTCCATCTTCGATCAAAGCCCGCCATTTTGTTCTCCAAATCCGTCGAGCGGTCGCGCTTGCGCACCCCCCCTCCGACGGAGGCATACTCCACCCCAGCTCACTCTGAACGGTAAATCACTTCCCTCCGCAATTGCCCTTTTGTTTTGTTTCCACACATCCCTTCAATCCATGCTATCTTTTTTTACCCTATCCTCTCCCACTTCCTGTCTCGAGTGCCGTGGGGCCCCGGCCAGTATATTACGCCTTACTGAAACGGGGAAAATTTTTATCTTGCGCGCCTCATGCGCACCCCGCCTTCAATTTTTAGTCAGTCCACTCAATCCCACCGTGATTTCTCAGCGACTAAAGTCGTACGACCCCCCGCCCCTCCTCTACAAATCAGGTACGGGACCCTTTGTTACCGTACACAACGCTAGGCGTTGACCTGGCGTCCCCCGCGAACTCCAGAAGTTGATCGAGCACGTCTGTTGAGAGCTCGTTCGGA